CGCTCAACCGAGAGAACCCGGTCGAGCAAGCCTATTATACTTACTTCTACCCAAAACTCATCCATGAATAAAGAGGAGATGTACTCCATTAATCAATCACTGAAAAGATTTTATTAACGACTTCCTTTTCATTAGCTTCATTCATAATTTTCAAAACATTACGAGTTTATAGAATTAATGAAAAACATAATTTCCAAGTACCAACATTTCTAGTTCGATTCCCAACATCAACCATAACCCACAACCTGTCTACGGAGCCTCTAAATACAATAGAAGAGTAATATGGAAATGCTGACAACAAGGCCCCGACTATACCTCAAAATATTGTATATGAGAAGCAAAAGATACATGACCCCGAAATGAAGTGGGGCTCACCAAATCAGCTGAAAAGAGTGTACTGCTATCACTGATCAATGCCGCCTGCTGAAGAACCACCTGCATCCATTAAAGATGCAGCGCCCCCGGCAAAAGGGACGTAAGTACTGTCGAATAATACTAGTATGTATAACTAAAAATCCTCTTTCAAAATAGAATTCCCATATAAGAAAAGGCAACACATAGAAATAAAAAGTCACAATCAACAATATCCAAACGTCCAGTTAAAACATAATAATTTCCAAAATACAAACTTCATGTATAATTTTAGTTCGGAGATCATTAGCACCGATATACCACCCTCTTTGTTAGCACGGAGTCCGATCACTCCCGATCGGCTAGGCCATCTCCCCACGAACAATGTGGTTTGACATGTGATGCAAAAGAAAATTATTACCAAGAGTAGTACCACCATATGCGCAATATGGCATCTGATCTCCACCCGATCAGCTAGGCCGCATTCCCACATATGTCGTGCGGGTTGACTTTTTCAATCCACAAAGATTCCAGTTTCATCCCAATTAAAGGGAATAATATCACAATCCACCCCTACACCGGCACGTGTAGTTTCAGTTGTGGGCCTTATGACCCACCCTTCCTCGGTATTGCTAATGATGCTCCCAAAAATAGTTTTGATTTGATTTGCAAACAGAAATATCATAAATACAATTGTACTCACCTCAACATCTTTCACATTGTATGAATTCTTATTAGTATTTCCAGTCATTCACAACGACAATATTTCATTGACTCATTAGGCCATTCACAAGATTCTTTATTCCTGGCACGATGGACATATTTCATATTCCACACTTTCACCTCTTTCAATTTCAAAGATCACCATCAAGTATCAACATATAGGATATTTTAAAAATCATATACTTCAAATCCATTTGAAATGGAAACTTCAAACACAAATGGTTTCTTCCCAAAGAATGAAGCATACCAACCAACAATAGAAACACACATGAAAAATCATAAACAGTCAATACACCATTTACTCTTGCAATACTCTTCCCCAGAAATGACAATGTACAATTTCAATACATGAATATATAGAACTCGAATCACACTGGATATATTTATAAATCAAAGCATTAGTTAAAGCAGCCACTAATGGGCATGAATTTAGTACAAAAGCTTTTAGACAATTCTATCTTTCATTGAAACACGACTCAAAGCCATAACCTTTTAATACGTAACCCACACTTTGAAACTTACAGAAACATTATGGAATTCAATTCCAAGAGAGAAAGTTTAGCCAACATACCTCAATCGCGCTTCTTTAGACTCTACAATTATCCGGAACCCTTAGCAACCTCAATCTATTTTAGCAATATACAAATTGAACCCAAAATTAGGAAAACGTTCATGGTTCTAGTTCACTTTTTATTTTTCCCACACTCTTTATCACATGCATGCAAGATGAACCACCCTCATACCCATGAAGTATCACACTAATACCCCATTATAGCTATGTATGAAATTAAGAGCTGGGGAGATGAAGCCTTACCTTTTAGGGTGAAGAATTGGTGCTCTACTTGAATATTTCCGAAGCTTCAAGTGATGATTGAAGATCAATTTGATGAAAACTTAGACCCTCCCTCTTGAACCCTCTCTCTCTCTCACTCTAGAAACATCTGAAAATGAGCTCAAAATAGACCTAAGGGGTATTTTAACAGAATGGGGGTCGTGTTTTATATTAAGAAAATGGGTGCCCCGACACAGGTCTGCGGTCGCATATGCGACCGCATAATAGTTATGCGGTCCGCAAAGTGACCGCAGAAATGGACCTTAGGGGCCTGAACTTATGGCCCAGGTATGCGACCAGTATGCGTTCCGCATACTCGTTCTGCGGTCACATAATGCACCGCAGAACTCCCTCCGCAAAAACTCAAGAGGGATTATGCGATCGAAATGCGGTCTGCATATCGATTATGCGATAGCATAATCGACCGCAAAACTGACCTCGAGTTGGCCAAACTTACTACTTCACTCTGCGGCCATTATGCGGTCCGCAGAGTGATTATGCGGCCGTATAATGGGCCGCAGAAATGCGTTCGTCTGCGAAATATTTTTCTCTTAGTCCGTAGGGTACTGTTCAATCCAAAAAGTCCGAACTGTGGCTCGCAAGCTCGCCGCGAAGAATTTCTACTAATATAACGCAGGGATCTATCTTGGCACCATGAAACCCCGAGTTTTTGGTTTAAATTTTTATGGGTCCTTACATAACCCGCCCGTATGAGGTATCTGACCAGTGATCGATTGTCGGAATGAGCTCCGTAAAGGCCTTCGTGGACTTCTTCGAGGACGCGTTGGGTTTGGTTTGGGCCTAAACACTTTGCCAAAGGGCTGCCGTAAGTCCTCTTGTATAGGTCGTTAAGTTTATGCCAGTCCCAAGTTAAGTTTATGGTTCTTACCTCAATTTGGTCCAGTGATGAGTTGAGGAGGTGGACTACACTTTTATCTCTGGTTGTGATGTTTTTGGTCGATGCGGCTAGTTTGGCGAGGCGGTCTGCTTCGGTATTCTGCGCTCGTGGAATTTGATCGAGCTGGCATTCGTCAAACTGAGGCAATAGCTTGCAGATTTTGGTCTGGTATTTTTGCAATCTTTGTTCCTTGATTTGGAAAGTCCCTGTGACTTAGTTGACTACGAGCTGGGAGTCACAACAGAGTTTCAATTGTTTCGCCCTATATTTGAGTGTTATCCTTAACCCTGCAATTACGACCTCATTGTTAGTCATATCCGGGCACCTTATGGACTGGCGAATTACTTTGCCTGTCGGGACCTCGAGCACGAGTACCAGTCCGGACCCTGATGCATTGGATGCACCGTCGGTGTATAGGACCCAGAGGTCTTGTGTTTGGAGGGAAGCTTTGATGGCTTCCCTTTCAACTTCAGACATTGTTTTTGCATTGAAGTCGGTAACGAAGTTTGCGAGCACTTGTGACTTTATCGTCGTTCACGACTGGTATGTGATATCGTGCTCGCTTAGCTCGATGGCCCATTTGGCCAGCCTCCCTGATAGCTCGGGTTTATGCAATATTCTCCTGAAGGGAAAAGTTGTGACGACCGAGATGGGGTGGCATTGGAAATAGGGTCTAAGCTTTCGTGAAGCTATGACTAAGGCCAGAGCCAATTTTTTGAGGTGTGGGTACCTCATCTCGGCGTCAACGAGTGTTTTGCTAATATAATATATGGGAGATTGCGTACCTTTATTTTCGCAAATTAAGGTTGCGCTTACTGCTACCTCGGATACGGCTAGATAGACGAGGAGTTGCTCCCCAGGTTCTGGTTTCGAAAGCAGGGGTGGTGATGATAGGTATGCTTTTAGTTCTCACAAAGCCTGGATGCACTCGGAAGTCCATTCGAGGCCGTTTTCCTTCTTGAGTATGCCAAAATATTTGTGACATCTATCTGACGCCCGCAAAATGAACCTTGATAGGGCGACGATATGACCTGTCAGCCTTTGGACTTGCTTTTTGGTGGTTAAGAGTTCTAGTATCCCCTCAATAGCTTTGATTTAGAATGGGTTGTCCTTGATCCCTCGCTGTGACACTAGAAAACCTAAGAATTTTCCTGAGGCTACGCCAAATGCGCATTTCTTTGGGTTCAGCTTCATTCTGTATCGTTTGAGTATGTCAAAAGTTTCTTTCAAATGATCGATGTGATCATCTACACTTTTTTGCTTGACCAACATCTCGTCTATATATATCTCCATGGTCTTACCGAGCTGGTCTTTGAACATCTTGGTTACCAACTTTTGATAAGTAGCTCCCGCGTTTTTAGTCCAAACGGCATGACCCAATATCAATACGTTCCTTGGTGGGTGATGAACGTGATCTTCTCCAAGTCTTCTTCCTCCATGAGAATTTGACTATAGCCTGAGTAAGCGTCCAAGAAACTCAATAGTTCGTGCCCGGCTGTTGCATCGATGAGCTGGTCGATGTGGGGTAACGAGAATGAATCCTACGAACATGTTTTGCTCAAGTCTGTGAAATCCACGCACATTCTCCATTTCCCATTTTTCTTTTTGACGATCACTACGTTGGCAATCCACATCGGGTACTTCGACTCCCTGATGGAGCCGTTTTCTAACAATTTTTCCACCTCCTAGCGGACTGCATCGTTAGTGGAATAGTTGAATTTACGCCTGACTTGCCTTACTGGGGGTGGAATGGCTCGACGTTTAACTTGTGTGAGGTGATTTCCTTTGGGATGGCCGGCATATCTTCATGGCTGAAAGCAAACAAATTTGCATTATCTAATAAGAATTGACTGAATTTACTCGGTTCCTGGAGTTTAAGCCGATATAGGCCTTCTTACTATGATCGTTGAGGTCCAATTGAACGGGGACGAGGTCTTCTACGGTCAAACCTGCAGCCTCGACCGTGTTGGAGTCCATGATGACATCGTCGATTTCTCCTTGCTTCGACCTCGACCCTATTGATTGTTACGCCTCATTTTCTTTATAATTTTTTATGTTGGATGGTCATATTGTCCAAGGAAATGCAGTAGCATTGCCGGGACGTGCATGTTTCTCGCGTATGTTGAATATTTCCCATGGTGTCGGGAACTTAATTAATTGGTATAGACTGGATGGGATAGATCTCATGGGGTGTATTCATGGTCGTTCCACTATGGCATTGTACGTAATGGCATGGTCCATGATGTGGAATGTCGTCTCTAGAGTCACATTGCCGGCCAAGACGAGGAGTGTAATTTCCCAGGATGTTCGCTCAACTGCATTATTAAAACTGGTTAGCGTGATGTAGCACATAACTATCTTATCCTCGAGCCTCATTTGGGTATGGAATCGAGGATGGATAATGCATGCACCGCTTCCATCATCCACCATGATGCGTTTGACATCAGTATCTAAAATGCATAAAGTAATAACGAGGGCATAATTATGAGGGAAAGTCAAACCATCGGCATACGACTCATCGAAGATGATACTTTTTTCGAGTCTGTCATATCGTTCGCGGGTGATAGACCGCTTGCATTTGTGAGTGGTGGTGAACTTCACATAGTTAGAGGCGTCGTCGCTGCCATCGATAATCATGTTGATGGTACGACCTGGCGATGGAGGCATTGGCGAGCCTTGATGTTCACGTCCTCTCGCAAAGTTAGTCCTCCCTTTATCGCTTAACAACTCTCTAAGGTGCCCTTGCCGTAACATATTTACGACCTCTTGTCTGAGGGCGACGCAATCTTCCATTTTGTGCCCGCGTTCCTGGTGGAACTCACATAGGGCATCATACTTTCTAGTGTTCAGATCTGATCTTATCTTTGGTGGCCACATCACTTTTGTTCTCAGTTTCTCAAGAACGTAGACAATTTTTGTAGGCGACACACAAAAATTGTGACTTGATAATAAAGGAGGCATACCTCTTTCGTTCCGATGGGTCCATGTCCTTGGCATGGATGGGCCTTCTTTACAATGGAGGGTAGGTGCGGCGGCTGCCCTGACATATGGTTGGTCTCATTCCATGTTAGGTCGCGGAATCAGATGATCTCTTCTAGTACTTTGTCTTCGTTCTTTTCTGGATTCAGCTTGTACTGAGGTTAGCCGGTGAGTTAGTCTGTTGAGATCATCCCCATCCGCTCGGACCTCAGCACAATAAGCATTGTGAATTTCATCCCATGCGGTTGGAGGATACTTCATCAATCGGCTAAACAGTTTTCTAGTTGCTCTTGAACCCTTTCTACTCAGCCCGTTCTGAAAAGCTGCGACAGCTATCCCTTCGGATACGTTTGGCAAAGTCATCCTTACTCTGTTGAATCGGGTGAGGAAGTCCCTTAGTCCCTCTCCCAAGGATTGCGTAATAGCAAATATGTCGTTCACTCTCGCCTCAGCCTTCTTGGCTCCGGTATGGGCGGTTACGAACTTATCGGCCATCTCTTCAAAATTTTATATGGAGTGAGCTAGTAGCTGCAAATACCATGTTAATTCCCCTGTGAGGGCTTCGCTGAACTTCTTCAGCAAAATAGAGGACACTTGTTCCTTAGCGAGGTCATTACCTTTCACGGCGGTGACGTAATGAGTCATATGATCTTTAGGATCGGTTATTCCGTCGTATATCCTGAGGTAGGATGACATTTTGAAGGTCTTTGATATGACATGCGGGGCTGCATCATCATTTTACGGCTACTCCACGAACCTGCCGACGTCCCTTTTTGGCAGCAGTTTAGGAGCGCCCGGTATCTTGTCAACTAGTTCTTGGTGTTCTTTCATCTGGTTTCGGAGTGCTTTGTTTTCATTCTCCATTTCTTCCATCCTTTTTAGAATGGCAGCAAGGGCATTGTCACATGCACTATCAATAACATTGTGAGTTATATCTGGCGTTGGATGGAAGGATCGGTTGCACTGCTCGTCTGTTTATTTTATCGTGCAGTCCCTTGTGGTTTCTGCAGTCACGCCTGGAGCGGGTTTGTTGAGGACGCTTGCCAGCGTGTCGGTCAGCCATGCCTCGAGGAGTTGTTTAACAGCTGGGGGCATCCCCTCCTTTGTAGACGTGGAGTTCCCTTTTTCTGCTAAGTTTTGTTATGATACAGTGCGGGGGTGGTGACTTCTCTCGCCTAGGGGATGTGTTGGGCGTCATGTCCTCGCCTACTGTTTCGCAGCTCTCGTTGATGATATTCATGAGGTTGGTTGGGAAATCACTTGTTATTTTTGTCATTTCTCCTTGGTTACCTGCCATGTAGAGTTTTGTATACACAAAGAAATAAGATCTCGGAGTTTTTCGATATTAGTGTTTTGCGTTAATTGTAGATCTATAGGAAATTAAAATTTTAACTAAGAAATCCCCACATGCGACGCCAAATCATTTTACCAAAAAATATGGATCTTGGTTCAAATAATTAAACTTATATTAATAAGGGTTAATCTTAACTAACAATAATATCCCTAGACCCTCTCTAAACGCTCTCGACGCTTGTTAACGTGGATTTGCTAACGTGCGTTGCTCGACAGTATGGGGAGAGTGTAAGGACCCGTAAAAACTTTTAAACCAAAAACTCGGGTTTTTGTGGTGCCAAGATAGATTCTTGCGTTATTATAGTAGACCGCGGTTCAGACTTTTTGGATTGAACGGTACCCTGCGGACTTAGAGGAAAATGTTTCACAGAAGAACGTGTTTCTGCGGCCCATTATGTGGCCACATAACCACTCTGCGGACCGCATAATGGCCGCAGAGTGAAGCAGAAAATTGGCCAATCTTGAGGCCAGTTATGCGGCCCAATTATGCAATCGCATAATCGCTTTGCGGGCCACATACTGATCGCATATCTGCATTGAAATTTTGCGAAGGGGAGTTCTGCGGTGCATTATGCGACCGCAGAACAGGTATGTGGACCGCATACTGGTCGCATACACAGTCAAAAAATTCAAGCCCCTGAGGGCTATTTCTGCGATCACTTTGCGGACCGCATAACCATTATGCGGTCGCATATGCGATCGTAGACTTATGTCGGGGCACCCATTTTCTTAATTTAAATCCCGACCTCATTTCCGTTAAAACACCCCTTTAGACCAGTTTGAGTCCATTTTCTGATATTTTCTAGAGTGAGAGAGAGAGAGCTCTAGAGGGAGGGCCTAATTTTCATCAATTGATCTTCAATCATCACTTAAAGCTTTGGAAATATTCAAGTAGGGCACCAAATTCTTCATCCTAAAAGGTAAGACTTCATCACCCCATCTCTTAATTTCAAACATAGCTATAATGGGATACTAGTGTGATACTTCATAAGGATAGGGGTGATTACATTGCATGCATGTAAGATAAAAGGGTGTAGGGAGAATGTAAGCTAAGAATGGAGATGAATGAGTTATGAAAGATGAAACCTCCCATGAAAAGAACCATGAAACCTTAATGCACACTTAGTATTTGATAAAATATTCAAGTGGGCTAAAACCATGAATGTCTTCCTAATTTTCGTTCAATTTGTTATATTGCTAAAAATAGATTGAGGTTGCTAAGAGTTCCGGATAATTATAGAGTCAAAGAAGCTCGATTGAGGTATGTATGGCTAACTCTCTTCTTCTTAGAATCGAACTCCTGGTGTCCGAATAATTGGTGTAAGTTCCGACTTGATCATACTAGAATTGTTTGACTTAGTGTGTTGGGTTGAAAGATTTATGCTCCTAATTGTTCTAGATGTTTACCATGTCATCATGCTATTTGAGAACGTAATTATGATTTTCCAATCTCCTTCCCTTATGTGTGTAATGCCTTATGTGATGGTACTTATCGACATGAATGATGATGTTATTTGAACGAATAAAAAGGGAAAGGCTTGAATTGTAAAATGTGCCCAAGTGCCGGGAACTACTTAATAAATGAGGTTGTTTCTGCTATGTAATGAAAGATGAGAAAGAAATATAAATTGAGTGGACAATTGAAAGAGGTTATGTCTCAAGTGAGATGGCTTAGCCGATCGGGCCGAGATCGGACGCCATGTTGTACACATGGTGGCATTTGTGTTGGAATTATTGATTTACATTGTGGATATGGATATGTCTCACTTGAGATGGCTTAGCCGGTCAGGCCGGACTCCGTGTAAAAAACATGGTGGCATTGTAAATTGTGGCACTTGGCACTAAAGATTATTAATTTAAAAGACGGAAAGATTAACTCGGAAAGTATGTGATCCTTACTTGGTGTTTCTTGTATTTTGTGAAGCACTTCTTGATTATTATGACTGTCTTCTCTTTGTTTCACTGTTCATTCTACTAAGATTGGTGTTTGCCCTTACATACTAGTATTATTCGACAATACTAACGTCCCTTTTGTCGGGGGCGCTACATCTTTTAATGGATGTAGGTGATTCCATCGCAGATAGCGTCGATCGCAAATAGTGGTGCTCTCTTTCTCTCCTCAAAGCAGTCTTGGTGAGCCCCATTTCTTCCAGAGGTCATGTAGTTCTTATTTTGTATAAGTTTTTCACATTTTGAGGTATAGCCAGGGCCTTGTTGCCGGCATTGTCATGTTGGTCTTTTGTACCTTTAGAGGCTCCGTAGACGTTTATGTGGGTCATGTATGGATGTCGGGGTGGTCATTGGATCAAGTTGTATTTTGAAACTCTTTTCCACTAAATTATAAATCGTATGCGCTTTTGGAAACTTAACTATGACATAATGTATATAAGAAAAATGAACTAGCAACATTTATACATTTATATAACCGATCTCTCCCCTGTTTAACAAATGGTGATGTGTTCCCTTTTTGGATTATGAATGAGTCGGGTAGGAAAGGTTTAATAGGCTTGATCGACCGGGTTCACTCGGTTGAGCGCCGATCGCGCTACCCGAGGTTGGGGCGTGACAGAGAGGATGGACGAAAAAGAACACGACAAAGATCTCGCTCACAGAGTTGCTATTTGTGGAGGGACGGAACACGAATTGGGACTTCGAGATCACACATATGAGTGACAATTGTTGGAGGACTAATTGGAACCTCTAGGTCACCTATAGGGATGGCACTAACTGAAGGAGTAGGAATTGGGAACCCGAAACCACCAATAGGATTGCCAATTGCAGGGGGGAGCAGCGTCTGGTATCTCGAGAACACCGGCAAACATGACTATCGTTGGTGAATTAGGGAATCTGACAACGAACATGAAGAAGGGGAAAGAAACTCAGAAAGAGATTGAAGGGGCGGGCCTCAGAAAATTTCTAACAGAAACAACAGAGGATGCAGCTAGCTTTGAGATGACCAAAGCTGCAAACGAAGTAACAAATTCAAAAGTATCTGAACTAAATGTCAATGAAACAGTGAAGATTGTTGTTGAAACTACAGAGATCCCTAGAAACAACCAAGGCGTAAAAATATGGGCAAATATGGTGGCAGGGAACAAATTAGCAGAAAGAGGGATGAACTTGCAATTTATACCTCCAGTAATACATGAGGGATTGAAGAAAGTGCAATTTTAACAAGAAGATATAGAACAAGATAATGAAAAATGGATGAGAGCAATTGTCTTGTATGTGATTGATGACTCCCTATCAATAGGGGCCATGGAGAGATTTATTGTTGCTCAAGGTAATTTCAAAACTAAACCGCAGATATACTATCATAATGAAGACTACTTTGTGACTAGATTTGACAGTATGGAAGAAAGGAATGAGGTACTTTACTCAGGGCCTCATACAATCAATAACATGCCAGTTATCATGAAAGCATGGACTCCTAATTTTAATATACACGATGAAATGCTCAGTACTATTCCTTTGTGGATCAAGTTACCTAATTTTCCTCTAAAATGCTGGAACATGAGATCACTTAGTAAAATTGGTAGTTCTTT